TTGAAATATTACTCTAACAGCAGCTTTGGCAATTAAGTCTATCAGGCCCCATTATTTATGCCAGCTATCTCATTTGTTATTACTCAGGGAATTCTGTACAGCAACATCTGTCTTTCTTATCTAAGCAATGATCAGGTGAACAAGATGTTGCTCAGCTGAAAAGAAAGCCCATAGACTGTTTTTTGTATATTATCTTTATATTTCTGAAAAGTGCCATCTTGATAGTACAGGATGGAATATGTAGAACCCAAATATTCCTGAGGCATTGTTTTCATAGCATACAATACTTAGCAGTTTCTGGAAAAGTTGGCTACAACAAAGTGGGTACCTGTCATTGTGACACTGCATAACCACCATGGTAGAATCATTTCTCTGAAGTCCTTAAAAAGCCAGCAGAAAAACAATAACTGGCCTAGCCCATGGTTGACCTGATGGCCACTCAGATATCACAGTGGGGATATGGGAGGTATAAAGAAGAAAGATTCATGCTCCCACGTAGCCTAGCACTAATCCCTTGAGCTGTCTGTTCATCCACCCTATTGTACTTTTTCTTAGCACATTTCACATTGTGCAGATTGGAAGCACATCTTCAAACTCATCCAGGATATTGCTTGTAAAAAATGTTCTGTAAACACTGGCTACAAAATGCTGGATATTTCCGGAGCTGACTTGGTGCCAAGAGTTAAGAGTTATGCAGTGAACCAATTTTGTGGGTTTGGGGGAGCACTGAAAGTTGGAAGTACTCTGTAAAATCCAAATCATACTCACTCAGAAGTAAGTTTCACTAACTCTAGTAGGATTTAGTTCCAAGTAAGTGCATATGCTATTGTAGTTTTAAGCAGTTGTTTTGAAGGATGAGTTCAGATTTTTCTCCTCTGGTATTTGAAACAGGGAAGTAGAACATATAAAAAGTAAAATTAATGTATAAGCAAAGTGGAGTATGGCGAGGACTAATAATTATTTTATCATCTTTAGCATCCTGTTCTAGATTTGTGGATCTAGTCTGCACTGCTGGTATATTCTAAGGTACTACCAATTACACACCTCTTAAAAGCACACTGAGAATGATTTGCCAGATGATCTGGGATATTTCCCCCCCTGTTCCTTGGTTGTTTTCATCCTTTTGCGGAATGACAAATTTATTCTGGCTTTAGAATGCTGTTCCCCCATTTCAGATACGTCCTGGACTGCAGTTCAAATGTTCTGTGCTAATGCAAGGGATTAGAAGCCCAAGGAAAGACCAAGTCAAGGCTCATCAGCATGGACTGCTGAGTAAACACAGCCCCGAACCTCTGCTTCCCTTTTGTCCTTTGCATGCTGATTGCAGCATCTGGGCTTGACAAGGCATGTCACCCCCACCTGTTCTAAGCCTACTTCAGCTGAGACATCAAATACCTCCTCCCAGCACTAGGGAGCCCTATCTAGCAAGCTAGGGAGCTGGGCTGTGGGCCCTTATCTGCCTCAGCCTCTTAGAGCACCTCTCCTGCTGCTCCCTATGCCTCAGAGCCTGCCATGTTCATGGAGACAGGGACTCCTCGGGCTCTGGAGATGGGTCCTGCAGCTCTAGTTCTGTGTACTGACCCCATCTTGTCATCATCCTATGTTACTGTAAGTGCTTCCTACACCAATCTCTCCGTCCCCATCCCCAGCTTGCATAGGTGTGTCCCAGTCCTAGCTACACCCCTCAACACTGTTCTGCCAGTTCATGACAGATGTCATGTATGATGTCCATTTGACCTCATTATACCCACAGGATGGAGCTTCACTCAACACTGGTCTACTCTGACTGACAGTGGCTCTCCAGGGTTTCATACAGGGGTGTCTTCCAGAGCTACCTGCAGATGCCGGGGAGTAAACCTGGGGCTTTTTGCATGGAAAATATTTTCACTGCTACTGAACTTATCACCTTTCCCCTTTCACCACCTTGCTAGTATGCTGACATTCTGAACAGTTATGCAAGTATTAACAGCCAGATATATGAGAATATGTGTTTTGGAGCCAGAACTTCAGTCTGCTGTTTAATGATGTATCGGGTCATCAGATCCCATGGAAGTAAGCAATTCATTTGCTTACTCATTCTCATATTATGAATAATTATTGAAAAACAAGCACATATAATTGTTCTCTCTGTCAATTGTTGGAGACTGTGTGCTCTTCCGTCTCAGGAAGTGGACCCTTTGGATTCCCAAGCGTGACCATAAGGCTGTGATTTGCTTGGAAAAAGAGACTAGGAACCACTACATCAAGGAAAGCCATACAGTATAGTACAGTAATGTGAACTTTGGGGGCTAACTACATGAAGGAATGAACCAGAAGGCTGCGTATGCATTTGTTATGAGTTCTGTGATCAACTATAACAAGGTGTAAATACAATATATATCTTTCTGAAATCAGTTGGGGATTCAGCAAGATATTTGCCTTTAGTCAGCCCTCCACTGCCTTCAGGAGGACTGTAGCAGTGAGCATTGGGAACAATGGCAGATGAAAACATTCAGTTCTTGTTACAATTACAAGAATTTTTTGCTCATAATCTTGTACAATACAGCACAATGAGCTTTTCACACAGGAGGATGATGACTATTGTATTATCATGGTTTCAGCTTTACCCTTTCAATTTTCCATAGTTTATAAATGTAGTCTTTGGTTGTAATTTTGTCAAAGACAAGTAAATATGCAGGGAAACCCAATATTACTTATTATAGCATTAAGTAATAAAATACAGAGCAGTCCAAACGCCCCCTGTGACAAGCTGGTGTGTGTGTGAGGGAGAGAGAGAGAAATTCAGTGGAAATGTCTCTCTGGGTAGGTAGCAGGCTGGTGGGTTCTACACCACCAGAGGCCCACCAGAGGGTGGGATGAGCTGTCTGAGGATCCACAAGCTCCCTAGCTGTTCTCATTGCCATCACACTTCAGCATTGGGCCTAATCTGGACCCAATCACTGTGCCAACCTGGAGCTGCCATAGAGATCAGACCCGATAGTCCTCCGCCCACTGCCCCATCCTGCCACAGTCACCATGAGCAGCCAAATTGCGGGTGCAGTGGTGGCGCTGCTGCTCCACAAAGTGGGGGAATGAAGGGATTTGGACTATTCCATGAGTGGAAACTTTGAAGATTCTATTTTGACTAATTTTGTGATACCCATATACATAATTATACATATACACCCCTATAAACCCACTTTTTTCTCCAAGGAACTCAAGGTGGCATACATGCTGCTCCCTCTCCCTCAGTCAATCCCCACAACCACCCTGTGAGGTAGGTTGGGCTGGGACAGGCTTCCTCAACCTCGGCCCTCCAGATGTTTTTGGCCTACAACTCCCATGATCCCTAGCTAGCAGGACCAGTGGTCAGGGATGATGGGAATTGTAGTCTCAAAACATCTGGAGGGCCGAGGTTAAAGAAGCCTGGGCTGGGAGGCAGTGAGTGGCCCAAAGTCACCCAATGAGCTTCATGGACAAGGGGAGAGCTGACCCTTAGTCTCCCAGGTCCTTGTCCGATCCTCGAACCATTGCGCAACACTGGCACACTCATGCTTTCTCTCTGGTTAGAAGCACATTTCCCCACCTTCTATCTTATGTTTCTAATGTTCTCATGAGCACCTGCTTAAAATACAGGCTCGGAGATCCTTTTAACGACAAGCCTGAGAGATTTCTTGTGAATCACGCTTAAATTAGCCATTACGCACAAAAGCCATTATTATTATTGCCTTCTACACACTGTGTAAACAGTAAAAACAACAGGGATACGGCCCCTTAAAGACTAACACAGATTATGGCATAAGATTTTGTAGATTAGAGTGCACTTCACTCAGATGTATGAAATGTTACCCTAAATTGGTCATGGGGATAAGATGGAGATAGCAGCCAGGTTTCTGCAACACGCAATGAGGATTCGTGAGTGTTATACAACATTAACTTAAGTGTTAGATGCAGGTTTTTGATGAGTGGTTGTATTGTACCGAACCCTGCTGGAACCTTGTATGTATGCCAATAAAGGTTTGAGATAGATATATCCATATCTATGAGAGTTGCGGAAGGGAGGAACTGTAAGTAATAACTTAGAAGGGAAATGAAATGCAAAAAGTACACACCGTGACTACTATAACATTAAAGCTAAAATATATGTACAATAATTACAATGGATATTCACTAAGGTATATTGGCATCCCAGCATTGGTAAGCTAATTCACACATGCTGTGGAATAAAACAAAACACAATTATTGCTATTCTGGCCAAAAATGATGGAAATGAACTTCTCAGTGCTTTTTTCCCTGAGGGTATGTGGGGGTACACATACCCCTAAACATTTTGTGAATCTTTGTACTTTTATCCATTTACTGTATTTATTTTCTTCGATTTGAACTATAAAATGGTGATTTTCTTGAGTCAAAACGAGAGTACCCAGAAATATTTTTTTTAGAAAGAAAAAAAAGCACTGGAACTTCTTCAGTTCCAGTTTCATGCTGGCGTTTCGCTTTGAAGTTCCTTTGTTAAGAATGGTCATCTATGATCAGCAGTAGCGCTGTGGGGAGACTAAAATGATACCCCACTTTATTTTTATATTTTTTAATACTGCCATTTCTGAGGTCAGATTTCTGCCCACTTATTCTTCCGTCCCGAGCAGAATGCAGAAGGACCTTGCTGTTGGCAGCAGATGACAGCGTATTTATTTCGCCCTGGAAGTTGGCATCCTCGACAAGCACGCGGGTGATCTGTTCCCATCAACACTCATTAAAGCCTCGGAGTGAGTTTTGCTCCACTTGGAGGAGAGCACTTAACCTAGAGCAGCCGAGATGCACCTGCAGTTGCATCTCTTAGAGCAGCGCCCTGTGGATCTCAAACGCCCCAGCATCAACTGGGGGCGAGAAATGTGCTCCCCCTCCTCCTTTTTGGCCTGTCAACAAAGTGGCTACACTTCTTCTCCTCCTTTCCCCCTTCCCTCCTCCCTCTGCTCTGCTTGCTAAAGGACTGATGCTCTCAGATGGTTGCTGACTTGCCTCCCTCCCTCTCTCCCTCCCTCCTTGCCTGCCTGAGTAATGAGCCTGTCCTAGCACGAGATAATGAAAAGGAGAGAGCAGGCAGAGCGGCCGGCCGGCTTCCGCCGCTTGGAGTGCCTTCCCTTCCCTCGGTCCACGCTCAGATGCTTGCCTCTTCAACTAGCAGCAGCAGCAGCAGCATCCAGGGCAGCCGCCTGGCGAGGGAAGGCGGGAGGGAGCCTCTCGCCTTGATTGGCGAAGAGCTCCGCCGCCCCTTCGAGCTGCGCGGGTGTTCCCTGGCTGGCCAGCGCTTGCCTGCCGCCCGCCCTCTTCCTTTGCCCGGCACCAGCCAGTAAGTAGCTCCCGAAAGGGCGGGCGGCGGCGGCGGCGCCTGCAGAGCAGCATCGCGGCGGCCGCGGGTCCACGCCAGCATGTCCAGCAAGGGCAAGAGGACCAAGGAGCAGGGCAGCCGAGTGACCTTCCCCCTCCAGCAGCAGCAGCAGCAAGGAGGCGACGACGGGGAGGACGAGGGGGCGCCCGAAGCGGAGCAGCAGCGCTCCAGCCGGGGCTGGAGGGGAGTCAATGGGGGGCTGGAGCCCCTCCAGCAGCAGCAGCAGCAGGCGGTGAAAACCCACCGGGAAACCTACGGCTGCTACCCGCCCTCGCCGATGCTGGGCAGCATGTAAGTCCGACGGGCCCCCCCTACCCTAGCCGTCCTCCCCGGGGTTAGGTCAACGAGGGATTCGGGGGGCGGGGAGCGCCCCCAGTTCTGGACGGGAAGGGATCCGCGGTTGATCTCCGTCGGAGGGTTGGGGATCAAAGTATTGGGATTTCTCTTCCTCTGGTTCCTGGGCGACAAAGCGACCCGGATCAGCTTTCCTGGGTTTATGAGAGAGAGGGGCTCTTCCTCCTACTCCCGAGGAGACGGTGGCAAGGCAACAGGACCAGGAACTGTTGACTGCCGTCGAGGGAGGATCTGGTTAAAGGGGATGCCACTTGGTTGGGCTCCAGGTCGAAAAGCTTAAAAGGCTAGCAGCGGAGAGAGAAAATAAGGCTGCCAAGAGTTGTCTCACCATAAGACTGGGCAGGGTGTTTTCACATGGGGGCTCCATGTTGTAAATGGGTTATCGCAATGGAGCCATTGAATTTGACAACAGGTGTTTTTTAAAAAATAATAGTAATAATAATAATAATTGAATTTCCCTAGAAAGGGTAAATCCACATTAAATGGGGGTGAGGATATGGGCTGGCATTTCGGCACCAATTATTTGCATAGATGCTGCAAAAAGCGATGCCACAATAAATACCTGTCTGAGTTGGAAAGTGAACTATTTTATTCAACAAGAAAGGATAGACATCAGGTGTGGGTGGGTGCAGGAATTCCTGCCTGCCGTAGTTGTTAGTTGCTACTACTGTTTGTTGGGATTCTGTGTTCTCTGCATTCTGGAGTGTAGTCCTGATCCACTCCACTGATCGCTCTTGCAGTTTGCATTTGGAGTCGGACTGAGTGTGTCTGTACCTGCAGCACTCTGGTTCCAGTCCACTTTTGTCCCCAAAAATGAATCTTTCTGCATTTTCCGTCAATATGCACTTTTTTCTTTACAGAATTGCTGACTCCATTTTAAAGGTATCACCCAGAGCAAAAACTAACTTGCTCAATAATTAGCATGTACGAGAAGCAGCAGCGGCCACCAACATGGATGGCTTTGAAAGAGAAATTCTTGGAGGATAATTCTGTCCTTCACAACTAGCCATGGTGGCTATACAGCTGCCTTCTTGTTCAGAGATAGGATGCTTCTGAATAGTAGTAGCTGGAAACCACAGGAGGAGAGATTGCAGTTGTTCTCAGGTCCCACTAGCAGGCCTCCTATGAACATCTGGTTGGTCACTATGAGAATAGGAAGCTGTACTAGATGAGTCGCTGGCCTGATCTAGTAGGACCATTCTTTACGTTAAGTCATCTATTCCTACCCCCCAATTTGCTGCAATTTGCTAAGGGGGGAGGTGGAACACGTGTGTGGAAGGAGAACCTTGAGAGAGACCATGGAAGTCTCTGTGCTTCGTTTCTTCTGAAAGAATTTAGAAGGTGAAATGAGCAAAAGCTTCTCCTTGCATGGGTTCAAATTCACCGTACAGCAACGGGGAGGTGACCTTTGTGAAGGAGAAAAGGAGGGACAATTGCCAAGAATAAGGAAGATTCTAAAGATCTGGGGCACTTTCAGATAAGCTGTCCCCAACCAGTCAAAGAACTTTCTAAAAGGGTGGGTTATAAAGTTGTAAAAAAAATAAATGAAATGAAGTGGGTGCTTGGTTGGAGAGCCAGTGTGGTGTAGTGTTAAGAGTGGTAGACTCGTAATCTGGTGAACTGGGTTCACGTCCCCGTTCCTCCGCATGCAGCTGCTGGGTGACCTTGGGCTAGTCACACTTCTTTGAAGTCTCTCAGCCTCACTCACCTCACAGAGTGTTTGTTGTGGGGGAGGAAGGGAAAGGAGAATGTTAGCTGCTTTGAGACTCCTTCGGGTAGTGATAAAGCGGGGTATCAACTCCAAACTCCTCCTCCTCTTCTTCTTGGTTTGCAAGGGTGATTGTAACTATGGCAGCTAATTTAGCACCATGGTCATTGCCCCCTGCCCATGGATTTTGCTAGTCATTCTGGATTCCCCAGGCATTCACATGGGGGGGAGCGCACTCTCTGTATGTACTGAGGGTATATAACAGGACCAGCCATACCATTAGGCAGAGTGAGATGGCTGCCTCAGGTGGCAGATGCTTAGGGCTGTGGGGCGGATGAAGCTGTGTGTGTGCTGTGCAATTTGGCCTGCAGCTGCCAAACTAGCCTGCTGTCCTTGGGTGTGGTGGAAGATGCTGTCCCATTGCCTGTGTTGATATAAGATGCAATTGCCAGTCCAGTTGGCTTCTGAACAAGGAATGATTTATCCTAGTTTAGCTTTTATTTTAACAATATTGATATTTATACTTATAGTTGTTATTGTTTTGAGCTGCTTTAGTCACACTTTGCCTGGAAAGCAACATATAAATATTTTTAAATACAGTGGTACGTTGGGTTAAGTACTTAATTCATTCCGGAGGTCCGTTCTTAACTTGAAACTGTTCTTAACCTGAAGCACCACTTTAGCTAATGGGGCCTCCTGTTGCCGCTGTGCCGCCGGAGCACGATTTCTGTTCTCATCCTGAAGCAAAGTTCTTAACCTGAAGCACTATTTCTGGGTTAGCGGAGTTTGTAACCTGAAGCGTATGTAACCTGAAGCGTATGTAACCCAAGGTACCACTGTAATGGACAAGGGCACCATCTTGACCTTTGTCCCAGGCAGCAAAATGGCTTGCACGGCCTCCGTTTCTTATGCCCTGCTTGAGAACTCACATAATGTACAAGTGTTGTATCTGCAAATATTGCTGGACCGGCCAAAGGAACGAACGACGAGCTCTGTGACGAACGACGAGTAGGACAACTGAGAAATGGAGCTCTAAACAGGAGCCAAGATTTACGGAGTGCAGTGGTTAGTACAGACTAGTCACCTTCTTGTGTGATTTCCTGTCTCTTAATGTTGCATAGTGAAAAATTGCAGGTCTGGATGCACACCCACGGAATATAGATGTCAGGGAGTGGAAAGTGAAGGATACAGCTGAGAAAATGGCTCAGGCAGAAAAGATGCTGGAATAATTGTAAATGGGATCATTTCTGTTAGTGCTTGAGAGTTGACATGCGAGGTTAGAAAATGTCTCTTGGTGGAATGAAAAATGGATTTCTGTTTCACCAGAGCTAATGTGGAGCTGGAAAAATATTGAGGTCAGAGATGGTTGGCATGCAGTAAGCACAGGTGCCAAGCTTAATTTGAGCCAGGGCTCAGTGAAGCCTGGAAAATGTGAAATAACAATTGAGAGTTCCTCAATAATTGAAAAAGGACACAGTGCCTTTCCCCTCACTACCGTGCAACCACAACTGGTTACCACAGACCTTGGATTTTATTTCAAGCCAGAGAAAGTGGATTCTGGGCAGGTGGTCTTCAGGAACTAGCCACTGATAGATGCATGTTCTCTTATTTGAATGTACTATGTAGAAGTCTTGACAGTCTGACTCACAGACGACCAAGAGTCTTGTGGCGTCTTAACAACCAACAACTAACTAATACATTGTGGCATAAGCTTTAGTCGACTACAGTCCACTTTATCATAGAATCATAGAACTGTAGAGTTGGAAGGACCCAGAGGATCATCTAGTCCAACCCACTGAAATGGAGGAATCTCAGCCAAAGCATCCATGACAAGTAACCATCCAACTTTTGTTTACAAACTGCCAAAGAAGGAGAGACCAGCTCTTACTGTCAGAAGGTTCTTCCTGATGTTTAGTTGGAATCTCCTTTCTTGTAACTTGAATCCATTAGTTTGTGTCTTACTCTCTGGAGCAGAAGAAAACAAGCTTGCTCCATCTTTCATGTGATATCCCATTAGATATTTGAATATGGCTATCATATCTCTTCAGTTTCCTTTTATCCAAGCTAAACATACCCAACTCCATCAACCATTCCTCATGAGGCTTGATTTCCAGACCCTGATTTTGGTCACCCTCCTCTGCACATGTTCCAGCTTGTTAGTATCCTTAAATTGTGGTACCCAGAACTGGACACAGTATTCCAGGTGTGGTCTGACAAAGGCGGAATAGAGCTGGACTATTACTTCCCTTGATCTGGACATTATACTTCTGTTGATGCAGCCTAGAATAGCGTTAGCTTTTTTTGCTGCTTTCCTTCACTGTTGACTCATGTTAAGCTTGATGTATGAAGTGTTATCCTGGTTTCTAGATATATATGGAAGAGGCAGGATTGTCAACAGTGTGGTCAGAGGAAGACTGAAATGCAGACAGTACATAGGGAGATAAACTTAACATAGGTTGATAGTATAATTACAGTGGTACCTCGGGTTAAGAACTTAATTCGTTCCAGAGGTCCGTTCTTAACCTGAAACTGTTCTTAACCTGAAGCACCGCTTTAGCTAATGGGGCCTCCTGCTGCCGCCACGCCGCCGGAGCATGATTTCTGTTCTCATTCTGAAGCAAAGTTCTTAACCCGAGGTTCTATATCTGGGTTAGCGGAGTCTGTAACCTGAAGCGTATGTAACCCGAAGCGTATGTAACCTGAGGTACCACTGTATTAACACCTGTATTTTCTGCAAGTCATTTCCTTCTGACCTCACAGACCTAATTGTTTTCTGTCCCCCTGCCCCATATATATATATATATCAGGATAACATTGCATACATCTGATGAAGCTAACTGTAATTCACAAAAGGCTATACCCTAGCTACTTTGTTAGTTTTTAGGTGCCACAAGACTCTTTGCTGTCTCGCTGCAACAGAGGAAATTTACAAAACAGTTGTTTATAACCCTGCTGGAAATTGTTACAATGGAAGTCCTATTCATGTCTACCCAGAAGTAAATTTTTGACTTCCTAAATAACTGTGCAGCAAAAGTTTATGGTAGCCCTTTTCCTTTTTCAGTTTGTCTTGATATCCTGAGCAGAAGACAAAAGGCAGAATTTAGAAAAGGCCATGCATAAATTCTTAAACCCCACAGCCCACCAACCCCCATGGAACATGGAGGAAGCACATAGCTCAGTGGTAGAACAGCTGCTTGGCGTGTGTATGTGTCTCATACCCCAGCATCTC